AAACTTTGGGTTTTATCCTTGATAAAGGAGAAGCCAGTCGTATCACTGACTGGCAAGCTTACTGCAGAACAATCTGGGGTGCGAAATTTGATTGGGCTATGCCTGTGTGTTTGCATCATCAGAAGTTGTATTCATTTGTTGCCAAGGAAAATTAAAACTGCTTCCCATAGGTAAGAGTTGTTCCAAGGCTGATCATTTAAGTGATTGTGGTGCTACAGTTTGCTTTGTTAAAGCTTTGTTAATTTATTCGGTGGAAAACGCGTGGAAGAGTACATCTGTTGAGCCTTTCTTTTGCAGTGAAGCAGTTTAGTCAGTGAGTTATCAGTACATCTTGGGAATTCTGAATGTTAATCCCTGGATCTTCATCACGTTCTTATGCTGTTTCTGTTCGACCCTGAGCTGTCCTTTCTCACTCATATCCGCTCCACAACTGGCACTGCCTTCCATCACCTCCGGAATGTCGCCAGACTACGGCACTACCTCACCCCTCACGCTGCTGAAACCCTGGTTCACGCCTTTATCACCTCAAGGCTGGACTATGGGAACTCTCTCCTCGCCGGCCTTCCCGGCACCTCCCTCCACACTGCAGGTCATTCAGAACTCTGCAGCTCGTGTACTGTCCCGCACCAGGCTTCGGGACCACATCACTCCCACCCTCACTCGCCTCCACTGGCTCCCCATCCCCCAGAGGATTGAATTCAAGATTCTCATCCTCACCTACAAGGCCATTCACGGCCTTGCTCCCTCCTACCTCTCCGACCTACTATCCCCCTACCTACCTGCCCGTACCCTCCGTTCCTCTGGCTCCGGTCTGCTCCACATCCCCCGCCCCAACCGCCCTACCATCGGTGGCCTTCAGCCTCTCAGCCCCCAGGCTCTGGAACTCTATCCCCCAGTGCCTTCGCCTTGCCTCCTCCCTTTCCTCCTTCAAGGCCGGTCTCAAGACCTTTCTCTTTGACCGTGCCTTCAGCTCCCCTCTCGACTCTGTACCCCCTCCTCGCTCCCTCCCTTCCCTCCCCCTGACCATTTCCCCCCTGCTCGGGTCCTGACCCAACTGTACAACGCCTTGGGACGTCCTCCCGATGTGAAAGGCGCTCTATAAATGGAATCTTGTTGTTGTTGTTGATATCTAGATTCCCGGGTTTGATTGCCAAGCAGGACAAAACCTTAGGCCAGTTTTCTTACTCCACACCCCTCTGTTTACCTAACAATACATAGGAACCCAGTTGTTAAACAATTGGTGGATCGCTTTCCATGGATAATAATCCCTTAAAAAAAATTGGATCACTCAATCCATGACTGTTTGTGGGACTTTGCTGGGCACAATTGGCTGCATCAAAATACAGTCAATTCACCTTCCAGTATATTCTGTGAAGCATCTTGAGACGTTTCAACAATGTGATAAGGCGCCATATCAAATGCAAGGATTATTATTAACATCCAAATCAAGCAGTTTAGTTCTTATGAATGTTGCCTTTGACTCTTTGAGCCCTGGATTCTTTAAGAGTTATACACTTGGGTTTTTTTCCTGAAACCTTTACAGAAATACATGCACTTTTTCTAAACTTTGAGAAATTAATGGGATCTAAAACATTTTATCTTTTTTGCTCTAACCTCTGGTTTGTGATGCAGAAATTCGCCCATATTCATCAAAGAGTTTACCTTCATTGTTCTGACAGCAAGCTTTTAAAATATTAGCCTGTAGACTCTTTCAGTAAAAAATATCAACAATTATTACTTTGCTTGATTTGGGGTGAGCTTTGGGGCTATCTTGATTCCGGTCAAATGTATTTAGTGTCAGCGGGTTTCAGGGCATTATGTGTTCAGCTACCTCTTCTGCAGAAATGTATTTTTTTTATATTGCTTGCTACCTTTGCCTCTCAGGGTGTCACGCTTAGTAAATGAAATCCTTACCACCAATAAATAATAATCTACAGGTTGTGTACCTGATGTTTGAAGAGAAAGTTGGCATGGATTTGACAACCAACCACGTTTATTAGGTTAAAAGGAGATCATCCTTTACTAGTGAGGACTAATTAGTGAGGGCTAAACTAGTGAGGACAGAGTTGTTCTGCAGTTAAAAACAATGTAGTGTACTTAAGTGAGTTAAATTAATCCACTGTTCACCAATGTCCTTTAATTCCTGAATAATTTAAACCATATATTCCAGCAGAACAAACCCTCGATTAGCTTAAAGTGCACATTGCTGTATTTTCCGTCGAGTCACATCTCCCACCCTAAACCTGCAGATATTACTCATTCTATATATTAGATCTTCCATAAAAGATAATTTCCCTAATGACATATTTAAGAGCTGTCACCACACTGTTAGGGAAAGATGGCGTTATAATGATTTAAGATCCTTTTGAAATCAGAGTGGTGCACCTGGATCCCATTAGAAGAGGTGATTAGATCACCCGAAAAATCATAACTGGAAAATTATATGTGAATAATGCTAATTAATAATATCAGAAAGTAATTTAAAACTTCTACAGTTCGAGCCCAGATGGCTTCAAGATTAAGATGCCTTCTTTGCCTTCAGATGCTTGTGCGCAAAATCAAGCTCAGGAATGAGTGATGAGGCTCGCTCTCAATGATGAGTGTGAGGACCCCACTATAAATGGTTACTAGCACTCTCAGTCTGTTCCCCCACCCAAATGAATGCTTGGCATAAGCTTCGCTCAATCTGTCTTCTGAGCACAGGAAGCCCAAACCGTAGGATGGTTGAGCTGCTTCTCCAGAGGGAGAAAGGTGAAGCTAACCTGGGCAACTTTACATTTCCTCCAAGCATTCCGTGTAGCTCGGTTGGTTGAGTGTGTTTTTCAAAAATATGTATCATGTTACTGCTGGAGAGGAGTGCTCCATTGCCACTACCTTTCAACGAGAGATGAAACCAAAGTACTGACTACCTGATGGAGGTTAAAGATCCCATGGGACAAGTTGAAAATAGAAAGTTTTCCCTGGCCAACAATCCCGCAGACAATATTTAATCATTCGCTTCATCGCAGTTCGTGAGACATTGTTGTGTGCAAAATTGGCTGGTGATTTGTCTACGAATTACATTCACAACAATTTACAATAAATCCAGTGACATCCACCCAATATAAAGGGCGCGCACTAAATGCAAGGATTATTATTGAGGCTTGAGCTCAATCTTTATTGGCAAAATCCCTATTAGTATGGCCTTAGCTGGACAAGTACCATGCTGCATGCTCACTATTTGACAAGCTTTTATGCATCTGGCTATGTAGTGGCATTCATAGAAACCCAGTCAGCTGAAAAATAATGCCTGACATTGGAAGATGGATGAGATGGGAGAGAGTGGAATAACTACAGAAGAAAAAAATGAGAAATTTAAGTTGTGAGTTCTACCTAATAAACTTTGCTGTTCAGTCAAAGTATCCCTTTTCTCTACTGCTGTGGTCTAATCTAGCAAGCAAAGCGAGCTTGTGGGAGTGAGTTTCTGGCACTTCAGACTTATATTGTTAGACCCTGGTAAATGTGATACTTTCCAGATCAAATAGAAAAGAAAAAAATTATTGATATTAGAGGATACAAATACTTTGCTCTCAAAATCTAAGTCGAGGTAGAAGCTTAGAACATTTGTTTTATGTTTTCATACAATTTACCTCACCAGCATCAATACTCCTTCTGACTGCTCCTCCCTATAGTATGCTGTGGCTTTAATATATTTTTATGGTGCTGATGTGATCCCAAACGAGTGTTGTAAGAAATGCTTCCATGTACATAAAACACCCTTTTTGATTTTTCTGGCAGTTATTTGATTTGATATTGCTGAAGCGAAATTGTGTAACGTGGAGTTCATTTTTTCCGTTGATCTGGGTCAAATATTCCCATTCTGGAAATAACAAGTTAATGTGTAGCTTGTTGGATTGTCTTTTGATCATGAATAGGTAGATAATAGGATCTAACCTGCTGATTGGGCTAATACCCCACTGGTTAACAATTATCAAGTGCATGCTGGTGCTCTTAATTATGTAACTGCAGTAACTGCAAATGAAAAGGGTTACAGGTGATTCATTTTCATAGGTTATTTAATAATAATAATAATAATAATATTACGTCTTATTACTTTGAGACGTCTCAAAGCGCTTCACGGTATATACTGTAAAGTGAATTTACAGTATATCCTGTGAAGTAAGTATACATGCTTTCATTACATCAAGGCTTGACGATGCAAACTCCTTGCTTGTTGGCCTCCCCAACTCCTCCCTCCATAGGCTGCAGATCATCCAAAACTCTGCAGCCCATGTCCTCTCCCACACCAGACTCTGTGACCCGATCATCCCCATCCTCGCCCAAGTCCACTGGCTTCTCATTACACAGAGGATACAGTTCAAGATCCTGGTCTGATACTCTGATTGTCCAGTGCCTTGCAATGACCGACGTAAAAGGCGCTATACAAATGTAATTCTGTTGTTGTTGTTGAATTGACTGTATATCTTATGGGCGACATTTACCTAAATAAGGGCAACTGTATTCATTTGAACAAAGTAAATCCATGGGCCAAAAAGCCTAATCTGCAATTTGGAGCAAAACAGCATATTGGCATAACAGCACCTACATGGCACAAGCTTCTGACTCCTGGTAAAAATGTTAAAATGTGTCGTCTGCATTAACTTAGCAGCTCAAATGCCAGGCTTGAAGTAGGCATCAGAACCATTCAGCTCCTGCAGCTCCCTTGTGTGCCTCCTTCCAAAAGCGGACATCAACATTTGACCGAGTATTTTACCCCAAAAAATGTTGCATTTCCTGAGATTGACTGATTTACAATGCAGCGACTTACAGACTTAATGGTTTTTAATGAAGAGTGCAGAGATTAGAACAGTATAACATTTGAAGTGATAAATCCAATTTACTTTTGAGAGTTAATTCTCAGTATTACCTGACGTAAATTAGATGCACTGAAGGCTATGTATTGAACAAACGGGTTGCGAAATATGCTTTCATCTCTAAATTGCTTTTGTGTTGATAGACAGCCCGGCCAGTCTGAGTTGCAGAGCCTTCTTCGGCTACAGTGGAGTGAACCCTATAATTTACTGGATGAAAGGTGAAAAGTATATAGAAGAACTGGAGGATGGTCCAATCAAAGAGAGCGATATCAGGTAAACAAAGTTATATCATTTCCCCAAAACTTTTAAATTCATACAATCTGTGGCATGCTATAAAACCTCCGTTTAAGCTTCGGGGAATGTAACTTGACAACAAAATCGAACTTTCCGTAGTAGTAATTTTACCTCATAAACATGTCTTGTAAATTGACCTAAGACAATTAAATTGAAATAGCAATCCATAGCCTGCAGTGTTTTTCAGTTAGGTTTTGAAATATGGCCATTTGTTTAAATTGTACAGTGGATTTTAGCACAATAGCTCTGCCACTAAATGGAATATTTCATGAATATAAATCTTGTGTCACAAACTCTCCAATCATTGTTAAATGTTCCTTTCTGAGATGCTCTAATATCTGGTTTGCAGTGGTGTTATGTGTTTTTGGGGTTAGGTTGAACCTGTTTGCTTGCCGACCAAAGATAAAAACACAAATACCTTTTTGTTTAAATAGGTTTGTTTTCTGACTTGATTAAAATTGCTTCAGTTACTTTGTTTAACCTCTGTTTTGGAAATGATGAGCAAATGTAGAATTAAATTTGTTTGATGGCAAAGTGGGTTAAAACTTGCTTCTCGGGTCAGAACTTAAATGCAGCAAAGAGAACAAACTATAGCCTTGTTGATGGCTACAAAAAGCCCCATGTGAAAGGTATTATGATAAACTCAAAATTTGCCAATGCCCAAGTTAAACCAAGCAGTGCAGTTCTGTTTTGCACTATAAATAGGGGGATTGTTAACTGCACTGGCTTAGAAGAGTGTTCCTGGGTTCAAAATCAACCTAGATTGTTGGGATGAAAATGTGGTGAGGGGCTTTCTCTTTAAACTGCTGCAACCCCTGTGCTAATGATGCTTCTACAATGGTGTTAGTTTGGGATTTCCAGGAATGGCAATGCATGTTATTTTATTATTATACATGAGAAATTAAAATACATGAAAAATGATTTCCACTGGTTGTGAAAAGCGGTGACTTCAGTGTAAGATCGTGACCAAAGGAGCAAATGCGGGAGATTAGGAGATTTTTTTTGTGTACGCAGAATCCATGTCAGGTTTCAAGAGGGAACTGGATAGATATCTAAAAGGAAGGAGCAGTAAGTTGAAGGGGATTAGAGAAAATCAGGAAAATTGGACTGAATAGTTGCTCTATCAAAGAGCCAGCACAGACACAATGGGCCGAGCAGCCTTCTACTGTGTGGAAAGGTTAGATGGTTCTAAGTCAAAATGGTGTGTGACTCGGAGATGGCAATGTTCCCATGACGAGGTCGCTCTTGTTCTGTTGGAAAACTCCCACGAGAAAAGACTTTATGTAGTTGCTTAATGTTCAGCTTTTAAATAAATGGCATGAAATTGGACCCAATTTAGCATTGACTCTGCAGTCAGTCAGTGAGGTAACAAGGGAACAGATGTGAATAGAAATATTCACAATAGTGTTGTTCACGTTTTTTTTTCTCTCTCTCTCTCTCGGAATGCTGTTGGGTCTATTATTGGAGCAGAGTGGAGGGAGCTTTTCTCCATTTCTAACAAGTGTTATAATGTGGAAGTTCTTGATGCTGAGTCTAAGTGCTAAAAGTGAGAAAATATTCAATTTCCAAGGACCGATATTCTGCGCCTTAACAACCACAAAAGATGTTCATGCCTTGATGCATATATGCATTTCATTAAGAAACCCGCAAATATAATGACAGAGATATTAACATATCTAATCAGACGAGTAAATTTGAAAGTGTAAAAAAAAATTGCACATGATTTGGGGAGAAACAAATAATCCAGAATGTTCAGCAACTGAATCAGGTTGAGAATGTAACTGTATGATTAGGTTAGGGTTAGACTCTCTTCAACATGTTTTCCCATATCTCTGATCTACTTGATCATCAATAAATATGATGAAATGGTAACATAATAAATATGTACCATGAGCATGTATGTATGTATGTATGTTTACTAGGTATAAGGCATATCCCTGTTATATACTCTGTTGTGTTCTGTTGGTGTACAATTATATTGATTTATTAATGCTAAGAGACCTTAAACCAGGCATCAAGCATATTTGTAAGGATTATACATTATTGTGTTCATTTCAGAACCGATTGGATGTACAACACACAAACAGTTATTTGACTGCAATGCACCATTTTCGGATCAGAATAATATCCATTAAAATTTAATGTTTATTGAAAAACCATGTCTTGCTGAGTGAAGGGAATAAATGCCACTCATAGCTCACTCATAGGAAAGTCTGATGTTTTTCATTTGTGGGTTTCCAAATCTTACTTTCTTGCTGGGGAAGATGTCAGTCATGTTTTGCAATGTGCACCATGTATATATGGCTAATGACTGTACATAACCTCTGGTTAACATGTGAATAGGTTTGCATTTCGATTGCAACCTTTGGAACACACAGCACAAATTTCACTTTGCAGGAGCTGTAATAAAAGCAAACAATGCCGGAAAGGGACAGCGAGTAAATTAGCCGCTGAAAAAAAAGAAGCTAGGTTAAAGTTTCGAGTGCGACCCTTCATCAGAACATGAGCTGTCATCAATCTGTTTATGCAGCATTTTTGCTTTCTGATTTAATGACATCCTCGGGTTGCCACTGCTGCCACTCAGATTGCTGCTCATCTTGGAAGGGCAGACATCAAAGATAGGAGCAGTGAGTCACCTCAGCCTTAGCTGGCAGTGATCATTATGAATGTCATCATGAGTGGAGTGTGCCCTTTAAAAAAGCATTGGGGACTATTGGGAAAAATGGGCTGTTGGCCTACTATCTGCTGTGCAGATAGAACTCCACAGACCCAAAAAATGTTACATTCATTGCAATTTCTGCATATCGGATTGGGAGATTTGCAAATGGCAATCCCAAAGCGGGAACGTTATAGAGAGAGATGAACCCTTCGAGAAAGCCTGTCCGTTTTTGCTTCAGGCTTTGCAATCCGTGAATCTTGCAATTTGCTACCCGTGAAATCATAAACAGCGCAATAATTTTGATTTTGTAAATATCGCATTTTAGACGCCCAACGCACAACCCAGCCCCCCCCAACACACACACACACACACAATCTCCACATAAATATCCGACTCTGACAAGCGTCTGGAAAAGTGACCTCTGACACGAGTTATCAATAATAATAATCCTTGCATTTGATATAGCGCCTTATCATATCTTCGAGACGTCTCAAAGCGCTTCACAGAATATACTGTAAAGTGAAATGACTGTATATTTGTGGGCGAAATCACCATGATGCACGCACTGGCTGCCTTCAATCCTGTGGCATGTGTTGAACCTCAGATATGCTTAATACATGCTGCATGCAGAAATCAATGCTCAGTAAAACGTTAGCTGGATCCAAACTGTGCAAACATAACCCTACATCCGTTACCCAAGACACCCACGCTCTTACAAGACAACAGACTTTCTTTGATCCTTTTTTTTATTTGACTCAAGTGACACCTACAATTGTATGGAGGGTGAATAGTTAGGTAATTACAAACTGCAATCCCTTTTATGACCTTATCGGGTTGTAATTTGAATAAATAATTATGCATATTTTTTTCAAACCCTCTGACCGCGGTAGCATTTTGTTACTCTGTGCGTTTGTTTCAAACCTTTGTGTTTCTGAAAGGCACCCTCTTGTGAAATACCAACCATTTTGTTTTTATCACTGTAGTTAGTGTTCAGTATCATTCAGGCATTGCATTTTTACAATGATATTTCCTGTTTTTGAAAAAAATCTCCTCCTGATAATTGCTTGGCTTTTTTTAAAATTTCATCTCAAAGTCTGATCAGGCTTTCCATTGCTCCTCTAAGTCATGCTAAATGAATCTTTTGGTTGTTTAAGTCATAAATAATAGTGATTCCTGAGTGTATCCAGATGTGCGTGACCCTGCCCGCTGGAACTCTATTTAGATGTGGCTCTGGAAGTAGATCACACTGGAGCAGAGTTTTCACGAGTCAGTGTGACCACAGATCCTGATATTCACAGGCAATCCTTATTCACATTCACAGACAATTATTAATAATAATAATAAGATTAAATTGGTCACTTCAATCCACGACTATTTGTGGGACACTGCTGTGTGCAATTGGCCTTCGCGTTTCACCCACAAAATTTAGTCGATTCACTTTACAGCATATTCTGTGAAGCGCTTTGAGACATCTCAAAGACATGATAAGGCGCAATATCAAATGCAAGGATTATTATCCGGGTAACAAGTACCACATTCACAGCCTTATTTTATCAGCAGACAAATGGCTGCGATAGCCAACTCTCTAAAATTACAAATGGCACCGCTTTTGCATGTTGCCTCTCACATTGCACAATTTGTTTCCTTAATTCTGTCAAACTGTCTACAGTTATACGGCTTCTTCAGCAAAGCACAAATGCTGCTCGAGGTCAAGTTTGACCTTCCGTCACAAGTCCGCGACTTGTCAAGGCTCAACAAGCAGTTGTTCATTAGGGAAATCTGTCCAAAAGTCAACTGCTGATTGCACCTTGTAAGCTCGCAGTGACGGAATTGAACCTGACTAGCAGATTGCACTTCAATTCTCCTGCAGAATCAGAAGCTCGACAAATCAGGCAGCATTCAGCCTCCCTCAATTGGCCTCTGGTTTCTGCAGGCAAGAGACGGCAGTGTGAATATTTGGATGCCTGATACAGTGTCTTCATTACAGGGGCTATTTGAAGCACAGAGCTGTAACAATGCCTGTTTTAATTAACTGTTGCGAAGCATGTTAAAAATTATCAGTATTCCCGCTGGGGTTTGAAGTTATTGGACATGCATATGTAATTTAGTGGGTCACCAGCTAATTTCCACTGATAGTGGCTGAGGATTCATTTCAAGCACACCAAGCTGCAGATGAAATGGAGCGAGTTTATTTCAAGGTCACCGTCAATGGAGATTGATGCACAGCTCAACCAGACATAAACCTCTTGGTACTTATTGTGGATAGATCTAAAGTTACTTGAGCACATGCCCGGCCATATTACTTTGGTGGTGATAACACACAGTATTTCCAATGAGAATCGTCAGTACAAGTACAGCACTGCAGTCCCATTACTGACCTTTGACAGATGTGTGAGTACTTTCTAAATGCAATGCCTATCCAACACCCTGATGCTCTGTGTGCAATGGGAGTTGTAAGTTCAGTCTTGAAGCAGTGCTCCATGTTCATGACGCTGTCGAAACCTTGGGCAAGTTTCCTTACTTCACACGCCTAATAATAATCCCTCCAAAAAACAAAAACAATAATAAATTGGTCATTTTTAATCCACGACTGTTTGTGGGACATTGCTGTGCGCAATTGGCTGCAGCGTTCGCCCACAAATATACAGTCAATTCACTTTACAGTATATTCTGTGAAGCGCTTTGGGACGTCCTCCCAACGTGAAAAGCGCTATATCAAATGCAAGGATTATTATTATTTATTAGAACAGTAACTGATCAAAAGGTCAACACAAGCGTTCCACATTGCCTGACATTTCATTGGGTACTGCCAGCTTCATTTGTTGAGCTCAAAAGCTCGGCCCTTTCTGCATTTTCATGAACATATAATATAATCAAAACCAAACCGTCTGATGCTGGTGACATTCTAGAACATTCATGCCTTACCCCATTGCCTCCCCACCTTTAAAGCCCACCATAAAATCTACCTTTACGGCCGCAATTTCAGCCACCTTTTCCATGCACACCCCCCTCCCCCCGCCTCCCGCCCAACCCACTCCTCTCAAACTCTCTTCACCTCCTACCCCCAAAGCTTAGCTCCTAGTCTGCAATGTCAAATGCTTTGAGACGGGCTCCCGATGTGACAGGCGCTATATAAATGTAAATTGTTGCTGTAATACAGGAATAGGCTGCCCCACAGTCTATATTATAGGCGAAAGATTGTTATAAAGATGATATGACCCTTACCCCTTCATATGTACTGTGTGAAGAATTGCACATTGTAATGAAAGCTCACAGGTTCTGTAGCAATAGTAATGTAGTTATTCAATCCTAAACGGGATCATGTTCATGTTTACATCAAGCAGTCAGTGGTGCATACCAGACCCTGTGTCTCTATGTAATAGCAGCTGTTAAATATTAGAGTTCAATTTTACTTATATTTTTCCTTTTCAAGCAGAGCTATGTTGTGGTAAAAGATAGAAAATATTAGCAGCAGTTCACTTTTTAACCTATGTCACGTTCTGCAGCAGAAATTTCCTGGAGAAAGATCAAACTTGTATTTTTAAAGCACTTTATCAAATTCTCCGCATCTCACAATTGCTTTCAAGGATAGTAAATGTTTGTGAAGGCAACTTGCACCAGGAATATCTCAAAAGAAGCCATGATATGAATGACCAATGAATCTGCAGGATTGTTAGCCAAAAGACTGCAAGGAACCTGCCAAGGGAATAGTTTCCAGAATGGATTGGAGGGTAAAGTAAGGTGATTGTATATTGAGAGGAAAAAAGACATTGCAGTATAAAAGCTGGTACCATGGGTTTTTTGCAGTGAATAATAAATACACCTGCCAAATCCATCATTCTCAAACACTAGTAATGTTCCTTGTCGCAGTTCCATGAGCAGCTGCGACACAACTAATCTCTGTTTCACCAGTTCACGAGTCCGAGTCCTTTCTCCTCAGGTAGATTACTGCTGTGTCCCTCCACCTAAAATAGCAGCAGTTTGTTAACATGCAACAAGGGAGCTATTGAAGCAGAAATGCATCTAGAGGTTGCTTTTCCCCAGCAATATTTCAGCAGCAGGATGTGTTTCTCGTTCTCCAGAGTTCTGAAAGAACACCTCGAGGAGAAAGAAGTGGAATTATCATTGTTATTTGATTCTGTCAAAGAAGCTGATTTGGGGAATTATACCTGTATTGTGGAAAATCGAATTGGACAATCACAAGGCAGCCTTCTTCTGCAAAAGAAAGGTAAAATATTTTGATTTAACGTATTGTTATTTTAAAAACAGTTCTTCGAACAATATAACCAGCTAAAAGAATATGGAGAAGATCTTTAACATATGTCAATGCAGAGCCATAAATGACTTATTTCTAAGCAAAAATGCAAAGACCTTCTAAGCTGTACCAAGCCATACATTTGTATGAGTGTACAGTGCCCTCTGCTGCCTTATGTTGTGCTTTGGATCCTTAGATTGCCTCAGGTNAAAAAAAGGCCATTTTAATTATCTTCAAAAGTTGATACCTTTCTTTTAAGTAAGAAGCAGTGTTTTGCATAGGATTCCATTAAGGAAGAAATTGATCGAATGCTTCACAAACATTCTCACGTCTACACAGCACATTTTGAAATGGAGGGAGTGCTGTGACATAATACATTGTGACAGTTGAGTTTTTTGATGAATTTTGCCAAGCTGAACGTTTTTTTTAAGAGCACTATTTCCAATGATAGCTCAGATTTACAGTATCTTTCAGTTTTAGTATTTCAACTGTTCCGAAGAGTATTTGACAAATTATCACAAAAGACAGCCATGCTAGCAGTAGCTTTAAACACTGAATACATTTTTTAAGTCCTTAATACAAGCTGGGTTAAACAAAATCAGCCAATTGCACTTTACAAATCGGTTGTTTTACACAATACATTGAGCCACAAAGCCTGAACTGGAAAATGACTCTGATGCTATTAAAATAAAGTGATTGTGATCAAAGCGGAGTTTTTTTTATTATCTTCACACAGAAATGGTTGGATTTCGCAAAGAGGTTTGAGGGTATATTTCTCCAGAGTATTAAAAAAAGGCCAAATCCATCATTTATTTTTCAATAGTTTGGCCTCTCTAATCGTACTGTAATGCATGAAGGTAACCACTGAGAACATAAACATGACAAACTGGATATTTGTAACTCTAATGGACTGAAGATTTATGAACGGTATGGATCATTAGCAGATGGATTTGTCAGAAAAAATCCAGCACCAGCCGACACAAACAGTCTCGTATATTTTTCTTTTCACCATGCGTTCTAAAAGAGTGAGGCTTCAAATTAAATTTCGGGCTCAATTTTAACATGCTGCTGCCTAAGAATCATGGTACGACATAAAAAGCCAAAAGGTGATATTGTCACTAGCATAGTAGTCCGTATGGAAGCTGAACTCTGTATTCTCAACAATGCAAGCTATTTCTTTCTGCACCTAACATGTTCATTCATTGCATATCTTGCTATAATTGTGTAAAACGGCACAATCAAATTGCAAGCATGGATTCATGGATTATCTCCATCACTGCTGTCATCACAAATGAGTAGATATTCATCGCAGCATCAAATGATTATGCAGGAAAGGAGTCTATTCCACATATACACAATGGTGGAGGCTTTGTTTTGTCTCTGATCTTGGTTGGCATTACTTGTGTCCATTGTGTCTTATCACCAATGGTAGCAAAAAATACACAAAGGTTTATGAAATATACAACCGAGAACTATATAATTGTCTGTAAATATGCCTAAACTGGAGAATACTGTGTTGGTTGGAGTTGCCCTTGTTGATAAGGAGAATTAAGTGATTAGTTCCTTGGGAGCCAGCAATCGCACTTTCATTAGTCATCATCATGGCAATGCTTATTCATCAAAAATCAAGATTTCTACCTCTCTCCCAGTTCTTTCAACGAGATCTTTTTAGTACAGCGGCATCCAGGGCAGAGCAGGAGATTCATCTTTAAAAGTTACTTGCAAGTGGTAAAAATCCTGGACCAAAGGGAGAACTTCGTAACTTGGAGAAGGGAGTTTCCCATATTAACTGCAGTGCACTTTCACGTCTCTATTCATTGTTATTGAAGCACAACTGCTTCAGCAAGTTTCACTGAATTACATTTGTCCTCGTTCATCTGTCGTCAACTTTTGACGGGTCACGGAATCCGAGAACAAGAAACACATTCACGTCCCATTCCTCGTGCACATTCTTAAGAATTGTGGGCTAATCCCGTTAAGAACAAGATTCCCAGGAACGCACACACAGGGAAACAGTAAGCGAATAACCAGTACGGACTGTGACTTTGTGATGAGGTTTGTCAGTTTACACCTGGGTTGATGACCAAACATCTTGACATGCTCTTATCTCAGTTAGACGCATTAGCCCATTTTGTTCCACTTCTAACTCCTGTTAGCTGATCAAACAGCGACATTTAGTGAATCGTCACGTTGACATGGAGATCTAGTGTTTGCTACCTGAAAGGAGACACATTAAACTAAGGGTCCACATAGGGGAACAATGACAAGTAGCACTGTTCCAATTCCATTTCATAACGTTCGTTTAGCTCCATCAAGATCATTAACAACAGCTGTTACCTTAAGTTTGTCGTGGTTTATATTCACTTCACATAAAAAGGACAAATAATTTTAGGATTACTATTTGGCAAAGTTAGGAAAGTTGTGGTGACCTTACCAGTGAAACATAGGAAAGTTAACACTCAGTTTCTACCTCCACTTTATAAATTATAAATGACCTATTGTGGAACCACATGTAGATTATCCCCATTGTGAGTTTCCAGATTAATTGTTTTTTGAAAGACCATTGAAAGCTTGTAGCAGGTAAAATTAGGTTATTTGCCTTAAATATTTCTCACTAAAGCATTTCAGGCTTGATGTTTTATTTCTAATAGAATATATTTGGCTTTTAGTTGAGTCTGTGTATGTACTCATAGGGTTTGAGGCATTTGGTGCGAAGGAATATTATATAGTGGAATGCAGAACACTGAGGTTGCAATGGTAGGTTTTCACAAACTTTATGAACTCCAACTTATTTTTCATAATAGGAAAGTGTTACTGTATGTGACACAGACATAAGATCTAAATTTTGTCATCAATTGGAAGGATATAAATTCTCAGTAATATCCATTAAGATTTGCATCATTTCTAAAGTAGGTGTTGAGTCTGCGTTCAATACGTCGCTGTATTGCTAAATTATTTTTGTGTTCCTTGCTGAAAGAATGTTTGTGCTTCGGTGCAGTTCACAGTTTCTATTGTTGTCCTTTATTCCAGATCTGATGTACAGAGTGGAACTCGCTGGTGGCTTGGGAGCCATCATTCTCCTGCTCACCTTTCTTGTAACGATATACAAATGCTATAACATTGAAATTATGCTCTTTTACCGGAGTCATTTTGGAAATGACGAAGCTGAAGACGGTACATGTTTTTCTGATGAAATGCTTCTGCTGTGTAAATGGAAAACTTTCTTTTCTTATTATTGAAGGCTATATTTGCTTTCAGTAGCAAAGGTTTGTGCATTGCGGCTGTGATTTTATTCCCCTGTAAATCCAGATTCTCGCAGGGCTCTAATTTAACCATTTTTCATCAAAAGATCTAAACGATATGAAGTGCCGTGTTACTAGAAGAGAAGTCCTTATTGCGAGCTTTCTTTATAGCGTAAATTATTTTAATTTAGAACATATACATCCTTGTGCTGCTGCCTTATTTTTCACAACATCAGCTATAGCGCAGCATTTATTTTTAGATTCCTAAATGATATCTCTACCAGAAAAATTACTTGAATAAGATAAAAATGGTTTGTCCTTTGACTCTATTCTACATTTTTCACGCCTCCCCTCATTCTTTGAAGGCATTTGATTTTTTTAAACAATTCCACTGCTACCTTGCCCAGCTAGCCAATACTCAGTCTTACCATTGAATGTTGATGAGCTATTTGACTGGGGGGCATATCACAGTCAAACTAAGCCAAATCCTTGCCCAACATCCACAAGTGGGCACTGAGGCCAATTGTACTACATATAGTCCTGTCATCGATAAGTCAGCACAGTACAGTTTTGCAATTTGTTTCATAACACAGTCTGAAAAAAGTCTTGAATGTTCTTGTCCATAATTTTTTAAATATGAAAGTAATACATGTATAAAATGATCCATTATTGAGACCTCATTGCGAATGACATCTTCAATTATTGATTTATTGATTCATTATTTTTGAACGATAGGTACCGCTGACCTAGGTATTAGAAATGTGGCCCTACTTATTTCAGGTGCCCTGAAAACAAGCTCGCCCCAAATGTGACTGAACTCTTCGCACTCTGGAAATGTGTCTGCACCGATATTTGGGGAAATGGGAACCATTTGCAGTCTGGCCCGGGGATAGTTCAGATATTCACAGCACATCTGCCAAAAATTCTTCAACTCAGGGCAACTTCAGCCATGCAGTTGTTGCTTTAAAAACAGACACAGTATAATTTAACTAAATCCCAACTCATCACATAACTACTTTATTCATAGAATCATTCTTTGTCCTCCATGATATTATAAGACACCATTTTTAAAGATTTCTAGAGAGAAATTCCACTTGGGTCTCGAATTATGTAAAATTTTAGGGTGTCCAGAATTGGGCAAATTCCCGTTGGAATTTTTCCCAATTAGTGGTAGTTTGGGATGTCCTCCTGACGTGAAAGGCACTATACAAGTGTAATTTGTTGTTGTTGTTGTATCCTGTAGTACTAAGAAGCAGGATTGTGCACACAGTAATCCACATTTGTCAAGTTCATTACTTTAGCTCATCAACAGAGAGCTTGAGATTGAGTAGGTGGGTCACTCAGTTGGAATCTTGCAAGTAAAATTTCCACAGCCGTGGAAATACAGGTTAACTGCCAGTCGACCCACATGATGGGTTGGTGGTGGGGAGCAATAAAAGTCATAAAAATGACATTAATAATAAAGCATAAGGCAATTGCAGGTTCCTTCATTTGTGCACAGCATGGAGAGATTGGTTTCACTGCCTTGAAGTACACACGGGACAAGTAATGAAAATCAGCCCCGAGACTCTTGTTATATTCCTGGTTGAAGCTACAGCAAATATTGTTGGAGATTCATTTAAGGATAAAGCAGGTTTTGATTCTGTTTCTAATAGCAGAGTTCATACCCTTCCAAAAGTGTTTATTGGAGTGCAATTCTTATCACCTAAACCCCACCACCCTAGTCTCCCATTTAAGGCAGCAACAGCGAGCAGGTTAACATGGGCTGGGCGAGATGTGACTTTTTTAAGAGACATCACTGAGCATTCTGCCCACACAAAGAGCATTGCCCTCAGTCAATCTAAATGTCTAAGGAGGAAAAAAAAACATTTTGTAAATGAAGTCTAAACAAAAAAATAGGCCAGATCAGTTTTAGAAAGTAGAGCAGGTTCATCCAGACACATATTATGGAGTGTGGAGTCCTGTAGCTCAGCAGTTAGAGCACTCGCTTTGCAAGCGAGAGACCTGAGTTCAATTCCAGGCAGAGGGCGAAACCTTGGGCAAGTTTCCTTACTCCACACAGAGCCTAATAATAATCCCTCCAAAACCAAAACCAATAATAAATTGGTCATTTTCAATCTACGACTGTTTGTGGGACATTGCTGTGCTCAATTGGCTGCCGCGTTCGCCCACAAATATACAGTCAATTCACTTTACAGTGTCTTCTGTGAAGTGCTTTGGGACGTCCTCCCGACTTGAAAAGCGCTATATCTAATGCAAGGATTATTATTATTATTATTATTATTATTATTTACGTATGTAATTCACACAAACATGCACACACACACACAGACATGTGCCATACCTGCAGTGCTTCACAAGTGCTACATATTTTTTCCCTGATGGGCAGATAAAAACAAAAAAAAACTGACCTTATACATCTTCTTTTGGTCACCGTTTGCCTCAAGGACACAAAGGATTTTAAATGGTGCTTCGACGATCAGTGGGATAAGCAACTATGCTACCAACATGAGCCCTTTGTCCCTGCCTATTCATTGTGAAAAAAATAAATTTGTGACAATTGTGAGGTACAGCAGCTTTAATCTCCATTAAGCGTGTTGAAGAGTGTTCGCGTCTCCTCCGAGATTCTTTTTATCTGCGTTGCAACGACAAAGTGAAGTATGATGTTGTCTCCAAGGTTCAGCTCTAAATGATTCAATCTCCCAGTTAGATAGTGTTGTATCAATGACAAACTGACCCCATGTGACTGAAGTACTGGCCCCAATGTGATTACTTGTAGCACATTTCCACTAACTCGCTCTGTGAGGAAGAGTAAAATCCTGAATGCACTACTTCAAGATATCTAAAAGAAATCTATACTTAATGGAGCTTGAACGCAGTTAACCTCATGCAATTAACTGGCCCAATTTGGATAAGATAAACTTTTCGCGTGGATTTTATTTGATCGTTCCCATGATTAGATCATTTTAATTAAAGTCAGTCTTCATGGGGTCTAATTTGTTGTAGGTCTTAATGGAATTTCTTAATAAGGAATCCAAGTTGTGCAAACAGGGTCTCCTGGCACGTTATTTAGCAACTTCAGGGAATTCTGATACAACCTGCCTCTGGAGAGGAGTTCCCAAAGGTCAATGGAAATTCTACTGGGATTCCTCATTGAGGAATACAGCATATTAGGCCCCTTTAATTCAAACTTTCTTGGTTAGTTCATTTCTGTAATGCTTACAGCTTTCTTTCTGCAAAGAGCTAAGGTGTGTATTTTTCATGAGGCTATTTTCACTTGACTGTCACATGGCTGAAGCCACATCACTATTCTCTCACACATAATGAGGAGCAGGAAATTCAGAGACTTCCTGTGCAATGCAACAACTTGATGACAGAGATGTAACCAGATTTCTCCCCCACGCAGATCAATCATAAAACACTTTGTATAGCAGAAATCCTGCTGTTCTAAAATATTTAGGAGGAGAATTGCTTAGAATAACAATTGAAGGAAATGTAATTTGCAAGTTTGAACAAGCATTTCTTTCTCAACAGATAATAAAGAATATGACGCATATCTGTCCTACACCAAAGTGGACCCAGATCCACTCACCCAGGAAAATGGAGGAGAAGAGAGATTTGCCTTGGAAATACTCCCAGACGTTTTGGAAAAGCACTATGGCTACAAACTATTTATACCTGACAGGGATTTAATGCCAAGTGGAAGTAAGTAAATATTATTCACTGACTTGAAATTCATATTGCAGCAGGGCGTTGAATTCTGCTGGTCTAATGCATCCTACACGATGTCTCTAATCTGATATTTGACCTAATCTAAGGCTAGAAGACCATCTTGTTCAACGATCTTCAGTTCTTTTGAGAACTGTAGGAAAAGAATCCAACCAGGTGACTAGCAGGACATGAACGTTTCCTAGCAAGTGAATTGAGTTGCGGATTGACTATGATCTTCGAATGATCTTCGAGACAGGCTCCTTGGCCCTATGGCCTACTCCTGTTCCTATCTTCCTAAATCACTAATTTGCAATGTAAAATTTGAGAAAGGGCAGCAAGGTTGTCACTCGTTAAATTCTCACCCCCAATTATTGGAGGACTTTATTCATCTTTGCAGGATCTTATTTCCCATGTCTCTTGATCCGAGTCTGATGAATCCGAACATTCAGCAATGTTAATTAATTTTAAATAAATCATGTTTAAAACTCCCCAGGAGGGACGAACACTTATCAGAAGAAGTTTTATGATTTCTCAGATATAGAGCTTCTGGTAAATGAAAGGCAATGTCTCCTGTTGCTGTGCACCTAGGGGGAACTTCAAGAGCTTTGTGATTTTCCAGTGAGGGATTTTAACAAAGGAATTGGTTCTATCCAGTGAACAGTTTCTGAACACCTCTGAACATTCCAGTTTCCTCTGAGCAGCTCTGTGATATCTGCTAAAGTTCTTCAGGAGGTTCAGCAACCAATCACGGTTATCACCGTTCCATATCTTAACAAGCAGAATGTACATCTTATGAGAGCAGAATAAAGCATGCTATGAGCAAGTGTAATTTTTACCTTTACCTTTACCTCTGCTTAACCACCTGAAACCCACCTTATCATGGACTTAACCAAATGTGCTTTATCTCCTGGGGGAATGTATTGTTTCAGTTATCCTAATTCCAAATGTATTTGAGTGCAAACTCTGGAATATCCATCTGTCCACACAGAACCACCAAACGACACTGGCTCTGATTAAATTCTCAATCCCATCCTCAGATGGTTCCATGTTTGGTCATTTGAGTCATTTGAGACATCATCTATCCCTCTGTTCTCCAATAATGTCTGCAAGTAAATATAGTAGTTATCCGGATTCGTTTTGAACCATTTAGTGGAGAGTATACTATTTGCCTTCATTGGGATTCTGTTCCACGCACCCAATTCGCTGAATGTGGAGCATGTAATATACAGTCCTGATTGTGGCTTTTTATCTCTAAACGTGTTTCCTCTAGTTCTGCTCTCCCAATCTTTTAAGTCAAATTGCACAAATTCTCAAACATCGCAACATCAGTCATTGCCATTCAAATGTCACAGCCAGAGGCGACTGGCTGAGGATGAAGGACTCGTGTTGATCCTAGGTATTTTGCATTCGCGTATAAAATCCTTTGTTTTGCATCAAAGGCCAACTACACTTTGACTCAATTGAAGCTTTCGCCCTGGAAAAGGGAATTATGGCTCCCGGTGTGTTTGCAGTCAATGCCACCCAACACCTCAAGCAAAACTGCACAATGTTCGTAATAATAATAACATTATTAATAATATTAGTAATAAGAAATAAGAAAACTTGTTCGACCCTTCAGAACTGGAATGATTGATATTTACCTCATTCCTGGACAAGGAATTGCAGGCAACGCGACCTGGGAAATTCAGATCATTTCCGTTTCAGCTGGAGTCAACCCCACCTTTATTGCAACAATATGACTTTATGCTGTAACCGACATGTCTTGTCACTTGTTTCAGCTCTTATCTCTGCTGAAGCTACCTACCACAAGATAATCTTTTTTTAACTTGAAGCTTAAACAGATCAGTCGTCTCTAATGTATTTAATCAGTGAAAAACAGGCATTCTCAGCTTATATACTATCACTTCTAGCTAATAAGGCATTGTATTTCCAATTTACTTTGTTGGTCAACCAGGTGTCTGACACATGAGTCTTACCATGCTTAATAATATCCAAACCAGACTGAGAGTTAAACATGTGGATGCCAGCTGCACTTGGAAATGAAATAGCATTCTCGCCTTGGAGGAACGCACCCTGCTAACCCAATTCTGGAACTGGAATGGTGTTATTACAAGAACATAAGAATTTGCTAGGCGAAAGAAGACCAAGGTCCACCTACATCGCCTTGACATGTCATGTCCCAAACTATACACTGCATCACGAGATATTATTTTCTAGCAGAAATCTATCTAATTTGTTCTTGAAACAAATGGCATGTACTGCTTCTTCCATAGTCTCCCTCAGGAGCCTGTTCCATAAGTTTACTATTCACTCACTGAAGTAGTGGTTTGATTTAGAGGGTGCCCTTTCATTTCCTGAATTGTGCTGGCGGGTATTTGAGGTTTATACCTTCATTTTTTTCCAGATTTGTTGTATTTCCCCAATCAGTTTTGTAACAGTACTTTGATTTATTTTTAGCTAATGCACTTAGTGATCAATTTGTGTGATGTACAAGTAACCAATTTCTTTTAATTTCCAGCTACCCCAAGGAGTTTTGAAACTTGCTAATGAATTCTGTTTCTCCAGCAGTAGCTCTCTTGTAAATATTCCTTTTGGGGCACAACGATTTTACATTTCTCATGACTGTAGATATTAGATCAGGTAAATATACTACCTGCTCTGGAAGTCCAGTGATTTCATTTATTTTTGCATCACAGAATGATGGGATGCATTTTTATGATCCTCTATAACTGGCTCTACATAGCCAGTTCCTGATCTCAAATAAGGAAGCACACAACAAAGACTAAGTTGTTTATTACCCCTCTTCCAATGCAGATAAATTGGAGGTTGTATTATCTCTGGTACCTCACCTTCTCACGAGATATTCACAGCAGTGATAGCAGAAGTTTGGGGTTTGGGTTATTTGTTCTCTCAGACCAGAAAATTTAGTGCATTGGCATTTTACTGTAGTCAAAATTTAAATACACAGTAAATATAATGTGTATGATCAGGCTCATGCCTCCATTTATTTTGACTTGTAGGCTTAAATAAGTGCCATTTTTTCCATCCACATCCCCACAGTTCTTTGATTCCGAGTGCAGTCTCTCCACACATCAGTATACAATAATATTATTAATTTGATTTGATTTAGCGCTTTATCGCATCTTCAAGACGTCTCAAAGTGCTTCACAGAATATACTGTAAAGTGAATGTATATGACTATATTTTATGGGAGAAATGCGGCAGCCAATTGCGTACAGCAGTGCCCCACAAATACAGTGTCCCACAAAAATTGTCCTTTTTTAAGGAATTATTATCCCTGGAAAAGCGATCCGCCAATCAACTAACAACCAGGTTCCTACTTACTGCTAGGTAAACAAAGATGTCTGGAGTAAGGAAATAATGCCTTGGTAATATTTAAGAGAGTCAATACTTTTGTTCAAGACTGAAATAAGAAAAACGGTATTCATAATAATATGTTTCTGTGTACCACAAAGAATGACATAATCATTTGATATTGACATTCCTGAGATCAGTTGTCACATCTGCAGTTTGAGATGGTTTATAATCTAATTGAGGAGTACATTTCTGTCTCCCAGATTATTCGGCAACTTGTAAGAAAGAATCGTTGAAAGACAAAACTTTTCTTGAAAAATAATCTTGAGTGAAATCAAAGCTAAAAGCTCGGGGGGAAAAAAATCTGATTCTATTAAAGCGCCGGCTATATCTACCATAATAAAATAACTTAATTTAGAGTGGATAGACCATTTGATTAAGAAAATTTCAAAAACTCTTCCAGAGTATTTAGTCTAATGTTGCATCTAGCTGACTTCAAAGATAATTTCATAGAAAGTGTTGAGACTTGTGATCAATCAAAATCAAAGCGGAAGTTGGCTTGAAATGAGCTATTTTGTCTAAAGATCCCCATGTCTATTACTTTTGTCTCCGAGGTAACTTGTTTTCATTTGTTCAGCGTGCATTTTGTTTCCCCTAGACTTTTACATATGTTGTAACATTAATTTAATTAAATGCCTTAATTCACTTAAAACTTCTTATTCATAAGCTTGTAATGTGCTTCTCTGCAAGCAGCTGTTAATTATTGAGAGCAATTAACTGCAGTTTTGCGTTAAGACAATAAGCAATTATTAAGGAACAACTATGAAACATGAAACTAGTATTCATCATACTTTGTCCACAGAGCCCATAAAATTATTTTGCTAGTTTTTTTATAATTAATGCTTCGTTCGAGCACATTTACTAAATTTACAATGTCATTAACGTAAAGAATGGTTGTTTCTTATAATGAGCCCTTCATTCCTGTTTGCGACTGCGGGATACATTGGGAGAATGAATGATAGCAATTGCGCAGTGAGCAGTTTGTGAACGGAGATCTCTGTCAGTGTTCGTGGCTTGTCAGATTGATGAATAGGTGTACAGATTGATGGCACTTTTCACTGGCTCACCATTCATTCCCCAGAGGATCAAGGTTAAGATCCTCATCCTCACTTTCAAAGCTCCCCACAGTCTTGCTCCCCCTTACCTCGCCGACTCACGACACCTTATCATCCTTCCCGTTCCCTCCACTTGGTAGGCACTGGCCCATTCCACGTTCTCTGCCCTGACTGCCCTACCATTGGCAGTCAGGCCTTCAGCTATTCTGCTTCCATCCTCTGGAATTTAATCCCGGAATTCCTTCCTTCCTCCTTCCAGGCCCATCTCAAGACCTTGCTCTTTGACCATGCCTTCAGTCATCCTCCCACCCCAAACCCCTTGGCCCCCACCCCTCAGCTCGGGTGCAAACCCTTGACGGCCGAGCGCCTTGGGACGTCATCCCTCCATGAAAAATTCCAATATAAATGCAATTTGTTGTTGTTAAATGATTTCCGAGATTATGTAAGGGAGTGAGTGCACATTCAATGCGCAAGAAAATTTCCATGCGTAGGTGGCATACATATGTGGAACTTTGGTTCGGATACTCATAAGCACAATGATGGTTTTCTGCATGAGTCAGGCAATCGGGCATTGAAAAATAAATAAATAGGTAGCAACATTTAGTCTGGGGGCTGAGGAAGAACTAAAGAAAATAGATACAATATAAGGGTCCGAGCCAATTATGGGAGTGGAGTGCAAACGAGATTTGAGAATATTACACCTGTTCCATCGCGCTGATTATACTCAGAATTATTCAAGGAAATACATGCATTTTTATAGTGCCTATAATCTCAAAACATCTCCAAGTGCTTCACAGTAATTACTGTTGTGTGTAGTGACTCTTTTTGGAGGCAAATACAGAAACCATTCTATCCCACAAACAGCCTGACCACCTAACCCTCCCTCCCTGCCCTCCACCCCTCCTGATCCCAGCCCCCAGCTCAGTTCCAAATCCCAGACTGTCCAGCACCTTGGGGTATCCTCCTGACATGAAAGACGCTATACAAATGTAATTTGCTGCTGTTGTTGACCAGCAGGCTTGTCAGCCAGGACACACATCGGGAGAAACTCCCTTCTCCCATGTGTCATGGCATAATTTAAAATTCCACTGGGTTAAAACTTCACTACTACTGTTGGCTGTGCTTCTGTGATTTCTATTTTCTTTCATTCAGCTCCGCCCTTCCCCAGCCTAATTTGAAACACTATTTCAAGCTGAATTATCGCCTCTTGTCACTTGTCTGGAGTTTATGATTCCACCATGGAGAAATTCCAAAACACAGAGAGGGAATCAGACAAAGCCATGTTTCCTTGGCAACGAGTTATCCAGGTCCCTTTACTCCGGGACTGCTGTCAGCATCGGTTCAATAGATTCACGTTGTTGTATCTGGGGTTAGTGGCACCGCTGTGACCGGTACTGACGTCGGAATTTGGGGGAAAGATGTACAGCGAAATACAGAGAAATAAGAAATGGCAACAGAAGAACTAACATCTGAGAGGGAACGGGGAAGGGGAGAGAAAGTCCAAGCTTACATTGCGTTGTAGGGGAAGGATGACCAGAACCATTGTGTTGAAGGTGCATAAACAGTGCATTTAAAAGAAAAACAAAAAGATCTGAGCTGCTTTCATTAAAATTTGCGACTGATTTTTAGGCGATTTGGATTTGTCCTCTTGTCCTGGCTCAGTTGATAGCGCTCTAGCCTCTGAGTCCAAAGTTAGCACAGACTGAATCTTTTGTATATTATGCTATGGATATCTTATGAAATGACTTGCTATATATATATCTGTGTAATATTTGTATATATGTATATATATGTATATTATCTAATAGGAGTTTTGCTGATTTCATGTTTTGGGGGGTTAGCTATTTTAATGTCAAGATCAAATCTACAGGATGTACACTTTAGGTTTTTATATTCTTATCATATAACCTGTTTAATTGTCTTTCTGAAACTACAGCTTACATTGAAGATTTGGCGAGATGTGTTGATCAAAGCCGAAGACTGATCATTGTTCTGACACCAGACTATGTCATAAGGCGAGGATGGAGCATTTTTCAGCTGGAGAACAGACTCCATCACATGCTTGTTACCGGAGAAATAAAAGTTATTTTGATTGAATGTACTGGTTTGCAAGGGATAATGAACTACCATGAAGTTGAAGCCTTAAAGGACACTATAAAGCTTTTATCTGTGATCAAATGGTACGGGCCTAAGTGTAACAAACTGAATTCCAAGTTTTGGAAACAGGTACAATACGAAATGCCCATCAAGAAAAAGGAGCCTGTTACTCGTGGTCAGGTCTTGGATTCTGGTGAACAGGGTATTTTTGGTGAGTTGCAGACTGTTTCTATGACAGCAAACTCTGCTACATTAGCATCTTCCCAGGCAGAGTTACCATCAAATTTTCACAAAACAGATCATATGCAAATGAGACATTACTGTCGAGCATATGGGTATGACATTCCCAGTGCTTCAGTACCCATCACCTCTGTAAGTAATCAGCACACATACTGTAATATTCCAATGACACTCATCAACGGACAGGCACCGCAGATCATTATCAGGAGAGATCCTTCTCTCCGGGACACTCATATGAACAATGAAAGGTGCCCACTGTCTTCACGGGAATTCAGTATAACAAGCGATATCTGGTAGCTCGACACAGAAATGTCGAACGTCCTCTCTCCTGCCACCCAAAGCTGCATAAAGACTCCCAAAGGGAATCTAAAATCAATATTGATCTGGAGCAAGCTCCAACCGGCTTTGCCCTCCACTGCAATGTTCCCAAAATAATGGCATATTTTAGGCACTTCAGGAACATCTATTTGAGCTCAAGACTTTTACAAAGAGACTTTTTCGGTCCATTTTGCCAATAACCCTTTTACTACCTAAAACTTGCCAAAACAAAAAGTAAGGAATACTCATTATTAGTGATGCATTTTGATCCGAAAGGGTTAACCCGTCTTTCGGGTCAGAATGTGAGAGGCGAGGAGCCAAGTAAACCTTTGAGATGATGCCTACTTGATATGATTGGCATGCGTTATTAGAAGTGAGGAACTCACGGTTTCACTTCCCTTTTATACTTTGCTAAGTACAGTATGTAAATTTCATAGAATGTTTCATATAACGTAGTTTCTAACAGGGCAGAACTCCTGTAATGTTTTGGCATGTGTGAGAACTTTTATGAGCCATGCATTTTTGATTCCATGTTTTTTTTTAAAATTAAGAGGTTCATTAGAATCGGAACTTAAACGTTCAATAAATATTATGCAAACGGTGACGATTGGGGAGAGTAATATTGAAATATTGCATACAGGATGCAGCTGTGTCTGGTACTCAGCCTTTTTTCAGACAACTGCAAAACTGCCCAATGAGTTCCATCGCCAGTTTGTTTCATTTTACCCTGGAGTTTACCTCCCATTGTTGTGCTATTGACTCAGCACTCAACGGTTCACACAGTTCCCTTTGTTATTACCAGCAAAGAGCAATACAGTGCTGATATTCTACCATCTTGAGTAGTTTGCCATATTAACACAGATGTCCCTTGAAAGTATAATTGAGAAACAATGAGTGTGAACTGTTTATTCACCCTTACAAATCTCCTGGTCTGTAACAAAATGCCACAAGCTTTTTTTGAGCTACGTGCAAAACTGCAATGTCCTTCTAAAAGGATCCTTGCAAACATACTGAGTAAATTGTAAAATTCAAAGCACATGTAGAATAATTAAGTGATTCGAAAATACAGGGGTTCCAACCAGTGACAGATCTGTATCATTCATTCTGCTCAGCAATGCTAATAAGTCGGGTCTTATCTCCCAGACTCACCAAGTTCAGGTGGTGCCAGATGGCTGCATTTTAGTCAGTCTGTTCCTTCTGTCATTTTAAATGTGTCTCAGGCCTTTGACAAAATGTTACAGGCGGAGTTTTGCATGCTGATCACAGACTGTTGAGGCTCAGCCATCTTCACAAATGCATTGCTTCAGAAACGCTCAGGTTATCGAAAGAGATTGCGGATGTAGTTGGTGTGCATCTCATGACTTCAAATCTAGCTTCTTTTAAATCTCAGCGGTATGAACTTTTGCTAACAGCATGTATGTTTAATCCCCATTCCTTTCAACATAAGCGCAAACAAAGTCATCATTTGTCATTTTATATTACGTTGGCTCATGAGATTAGCCATAGAGTGATGTATAACATGAGCTAAAAAAAGGATCAAATTCTGAATTAGTTTTACAATTTATATCAATGGGACAAAAGTATCTATAAGCATCTCTTGGGATAAAAGTTTGACCACGGTCTAGATTTACTCTATACTTATTCCTAAATACAGTTTTCATTGGCAAGCTATTTTTTCTGTAAGAACTATGGAAAATAGATGACATAAACGGGATTAATTCACCAAGTCGACGAATTCTGTGCGTTTCAAAATGCGGCAGAAATAATGGTGAATCTACACCTTGGTGGAATTTCTACCCCCGAGGGCTCCAAACTGTGGTAGGAAAGAATGCTTCTGGAAAACAGAAGGCAGAAAAGATTGTAACAGTGTGGAAAATGTAATTGTCACGGATTGCTAATTTGAAGTGTTAAAGACGCAGTGAATTTATGCATTGTGCATTGTACCACAGCCTGTCAGAACCCAAGTTTAAATTCCAGCTTTAGCTGGTGTTCACATTTCGGGTTCCACTGGATTGCAAGTCGCCAAGTTATGCTGGTTCATTTGGCACTGTAACCGAGGTGTGTCGCCAGCATGAGCAAGGGTTACATGGTGGACTGTATTTTGGTATCTATACTGTTGGCTGTCCACAGAGTGGTAGGTGGTGTTCAAAGATTTCTGCAGATATCACTCACCGTCTCAGCTGGCAAGTAGGAAGTAAGTGTGGCTTTTTTTTAAACAAAAAAAAGCAAGAAATTTGGAACAAACAAACTTGTAAACAAACTATTTCAATTTATTGCATATCTTTTAAAAGTGAACTGCATAATTAATTCTATCTCTCTGTCTGGACATTTATAACACATTGTACTGTATAATACGTGTACATTGGTTTTACAGAATGATCAAACAGCAATGGTTTAATACCAGTTGTTAATTTGGATTTCTTTACCTGTCTGTTGAAAAATACAATATGTACAAGTTCTTTGGGATAATTTTCCAGTTGTCAATAATATGGATCTGGTTTTAGTAAGAACTTGTATTCGCTCCCTGTTCATAAATCTAGGAATCTCGATAGACTGGGTTTCTAAATCAGAAATACCTATTTTTACGTCACATCGCCAAAGTCGATCCTTTAGCTTTTTTTTCAAAATAAAACACAAATAATTGGTCTTGGCAAATTCCTAGATTCAAAAAACATGTTCAGTAACTGCAGTACTCCTATTCTGATTTGTGCCAAACCAAACTGGTGGTTAATAAGATGGCATTTAGTGAACACTAATGCATTGAATTAAAACTTCAGAAAAATGATTTCTGTTCTAGATTTAATCGCACACATATATGGATCCGCCCTCAAACCCAAGTGGTACTGCATAGTTCTCCATCAATACAGCACTCTTCAATGCTAAGTCCTCAGTCCCAGGCTTTAATGTTGGGGTCATTTGAAGTGGCAGTTGTGCTTCTCTGTAATTTATGTATGATAAAACATCTACGGTAATTATTTAACAGGATTTCTTTCTCTATTAAACTGAACAGTGATCACGCATTCCAAAGAAACCATATCTCACATTGACTTTCTTCTTGTAGATCAGTTGGTGTCATTTTCATAAAAATGCAACAAACCATATAAGTTTATTACACCGGTAGTTGTTTCACTAACTATATAATTGTATTGGAAGGAAGCCCACAATTTTGTTTGAGAAAGAAAATTAATTGTTTTCCAATTGAATAGTTCCAATGCATCTTTTCACCTGACAATAAAAATGCTTTGTCTTTGAAATACCAGGAAATTACATTCAGCTCAAGGTCCGAAATGAGAAATGCCAGAGGAAGCTTGAAGTAAATCAATTGCGAATGCAACTCAAATTATGGATGTATGAGAAATGTCTTCTCCTCAGTTACGATTTTGTGATGCACACATCAGAGCACACTATTTCTCACAGGGGATTGACATGCTAATTGGATAGCATTGGGTAAACACAGATGATCTTAAGTACATCTTTCCCTTTGTACTGAAAAAGATTGAAGATTATAATTGATCTCACACTGCACAACCCCATCAGCAAATAGGTGTCAAGTGGAACATGCCTGGGTACTGAGGGGAGTTCAATTTTTGTTGGTCAGCCGGGTATCTGACACATGCAGAAACCCATCACCAGGTTTAAGAGTATCCAAACCAAACAGATTTCCATGCCTCCCACCTACACATGGAAATTCCAGAGATAGATTGTTGGAATGGAATGCGCACTCTCTCCCTGAATGGACTCATTCTGCTTACCTAATTCCCGAAAGTATTAGGCACAGGGTGGCAAGAACCAATGCTTGGGGACCCCAGATTGTATTGTATTTTGGGGTACTGCTGGAATCTAACCAGCTAAAACCATATAGCTTGCCATTGAGAGCACTGCCTGGTAAGCTTTCCCTCCACTTACCTCCCTGCACCCCACCCCCAAACAGGATAGTCACTAGTTGGTCATTTGACAGCCAACCGACATAGATTTGAGCCCTCATTAGGTGGATGTTAGATACCAGGAACTCCCTGCAAGTTTCCCATTGGGCAATGCATTTCAGCATGAAATGCATGGGAGAATTGACACCATCTTCCTGTCCGCAGCTTGGATACATGTCCCTTTTTATTGAGTGATGATTCCACCCTTTGGAGGTGTGGAGCTTAAGCAACAGTCACTTGATTCTTTATAAGACAATCACGGTGGGTTGCACGATGTGCTAGATGTACGATTGCATATTCACAAACTCGGACTCCAGGTAATGCTTGCCACCCCAAGCCTCATGAGTTTCCTCATCAGCTATCTGCCCAATGATGGGATTACAAATTAGTTCTCTAGTAACACGGCCTAGGGGGAAAAAATAAGGTAAGAATACTGCCAGGAAAATAAAGTGTTCACTAGTGTGTTTGTGGAGCAAAAAGTTGTGACTTCAGTTCCATTTCAAGTCTGGAAATGAAGATAGAACAAAGTGTGACCAATGGATTATAAACCCTGGATAGTAGATTAAATGCCTGAAGGTTAAATTCATCTGGTCTGTACTGTGTACCAGTTTCAGACTGCATTCACCTTATTCCCCCATCTACCATGCGTTAGTCAATGATTGAGCTCAAGAGAATCTCATAACTGCGTGCTGAATGTGCCAAAGGAGAGTGGCTGACTGATACCATCTCCACATTACTTCTGTTTTTATTATTATAACTAGTGGTGGTTCCCTTTGCACAATAATGCAGTCTAACACAAGGGTTTTTATGGAAACCCAGTTGTACAGAAAGAATTATAGGTGTCCTTAACTGTGTGAATAACTGTAACTGTGGAATCACTGAATTTTTTATTGGCTGTTAGTTGCACAGTTAAGAGCATCTGTAATTCCCTCTGCACAGATGCACTTGCACATGATTTTACCCAACTTGCAAATTAGACTCCAGCCTGTTATGTAAATTTTTTTTAAAAACCAACTGTTGAATTAAAAATAATTAAAAACTTACCAACGTGTAACT